AGTCACATGGCAATGCTGTTTCACATTTTGAGGACCTGCCAAACTGCCCACAGCATATTTTACATTCCTGCCAGCTATGTGTGAGGGTTCTGATTTTCCCATTTCCTTGCTGACAGTTGTTATTGAGCATCTGTATGATGATATCCATCCTACTGGATGGTACCTCATTCAGGTTTTGACTCGCATTTCCCTAATGGCTGATGATGCTGAGCATTTTCCATGTGCTGGTTGGTCATTTGTGTATCTTCTTTGGAGAGATCTCTATTCAGATCCTTTTGCCCACTTTTTAAATTGGGCTTTTTGTCTTTATATAGAGTTGTGAGACTTCTTTATATGTTCTGGATACAAATATTTTCTTTCTATGGATTGTCTTCACTTTCTTGGTGGTATCTTCCTCTGAAGCATGGAAATGTTTGATTTTGATAAAGGTCAGTTTATGCATTTTGTTCCTCTCTTTGCTGTGCTTTTGGTGTCATATCTGTGAAGGCTTTGCCTGTTGCAGGATCATGAAGATTTAATACTTGGGTTTCTTCTAAGTTTTGTAGTTTGAGCTCTTACTTATAGGTTCGTAATCCATTTTGAGTTAGTTTGGGTAGGATTTATTTATTTATTTTTTTAAACTTTTTATTTATTTATTCATGAGAGACGGAGAGAGAGAGAGAGTGGCAGAGGGAGAAGCAGGCTCCCAAGGAGCAGGGAGCCCGATGCGGGACTCGATCCCAGGACCCCGGGATCATGACCTGAGCCGAAGGCAGACGCTTTAACCATCTGAGCCACCCAGGTGCCCAGTTTGGGTAGGATTTAAAGAAGGAATCCCACATCGTTTTGTATGTGATATGTAGTTGGCCCAGCATCATTTGTTGAATGCTGATGAAATAAACTTCTACTTATTTTTTCTTCTACCTCAGTTGCATTCTTGTTTGTCTCAGGGTCACTAGAAGTTGATAAACAAGGTGCTTGCACATACTATGTCAACTTTTGTGTAAAACAGGGCAAATTATACATTTGTAAGCTTGTATATGCATAAAGAAACTCTGGGAAAGGTACAGTAAACAGAGTTTTAATGCAGAGGAGATGAAACAGGGCAAGAGAGGAGACCTTTGACTTGTGTGTGTGTGTGCTGAACATAAACGTTTTGAGACCTTTGACTTTGTGAGTCTTGTGAAAACATTACCTTTTCAAAGGGTTAAGTTAAAAAAAAAGGAACCAAGTTAGAATAGAATATTTATGAGAGGTGCTCTAAATTTCTAATCCTAGCATCGTTATGAATCACTGGTAGGGCCAGCTACATAATTGCAGACCCCAGTGCAAACTGAAGATACAAGACCCCTTGTTCAAAAAGGAGGAACAAGTACTATTAAAGGTACTAAAATATAAAACCTTTTCCTTCTGTGGTACCTTAAACTGTCTTAGTGTTTTTTATTTGCTAAATATTTAAGGGCATGTTCCTTCAAGCATAGAATACTCCCCTTCTCAGGCATCTGTGCTTCCAGTGGGCCCACTCTTCAACTCCTGGTGGACATATGACCTCCTAGGGGTATGCAGCCTCCATGCCAGGATGTGCTTGGTATCCGGATGGGTGAGGGGGGAAAAGCAATCCTGTAGCCCACACCTCCACTGCGTCATCTGCTGGAGAATACACCTCAGCACCGCCAGCCCAGGATAGTGATGGTGCTGCTGTGCTCCACCCTGAGACACCAGGGGGTGCATGCCTGAGCCCTGATCTTCCCTTTGCCCATGTCAGGCCCCCAGTGGGGACAGGTGTGATAGTCCCTAGGCAGGAGTGGGGAGGAGCAGATAGGGCAGAGCCCAGGGCCTATGTACCAGTTAGCAGGGCAGCAGGGAGCCAAGAACCCTTTCCAGAAAGATGGTGGGAGGCAGACCAGCTAAGAACTGAGGCTCTGGACCCCGACACACATGCCCCATTGTCCCATCAGACTTCATTTACAGAACACATATTCAAAGATAAAATTAGAATTTCAGTAGGGTAACCACTGAGCATCAAACTCCAAGCACAGGGCCCTTCTGAGAGTGGGACCCTGTGCACCCTTACTGGTGAGCTGCCTGTGTTGCAGGACTGAGGAGTGGATTATGTAATCCAGGCTCTTCCCATCTCTTTGCTCAGCTCCCTTCCAGTGATGTTCAATAGTGCAGCCTTCACTCTGCTATGCGTGTGTCACAGTCTGGGCCCAGGCTTCAAAGGGATAAAGAGAGTGTAGGGGAAGACACAGGTAATGACTACATCTTACAACAAAATATCCCATTATTTAAGTGAAATCTGAGAATATTATCTAGGTAAGGAGAATGTCAACAATACTATAAAACTGTAATATACATCCAGTGGAATATGATTCAGCCATAAAAAAGAATGAAGTTCTGACACATGCTACAACATGGATGGAACTTGAAAACATTATGTCACAAAAGGAAAAATACTGTATAATTCTGCTTCTATGAAATATTTAGAATAAACAAATTCCTAGAGGCAGCAAATAGATTAGTGGTTGCCAGGGACCAAGAGGAAGGTAGAATGGGGAATGACTGTAATGAGTATGGGCTTCCTTTTGGGAATGATGAAACTTCTGGAATTAGGTGGTGTTGATCGTTCCACAACCATGTGAATATACTGAAAAACACTGAATTGTATTCTTTAAATGTGAATTTTATGGTATGTGAATTCTATCTCAAAATGTAAGGTTATTGCTTCAAAAGTCTGTCAAAAAAATCATCTTTGGTTTTGGAATAATAACACGAATTTATTAAAAAGACTACGTTAAAAAGAGCTTATTCTTGCTTTGATGTGAAATATGCGGATTTTGCAAATGATTGTGTTTATTTTTAATAAATTTTATTGAAGATCAGGTAAGCCTGAAGAGCTGCCACTTTAAATGCGATAAAAGTCTGAAGGCATTATTCAAAAGGCTTGTGTTGTCAATTATTCTTTGGCACTTATTTCTAGCTATAAGTGATACTTATCATTGGTAAATGAGAGGAGAATTCATTTAGAATTTACCTCTGTCAAGTGAAGGATACAAACTTTCAGTAGTTTGTAGGTGTTTTTCCTTAAAGAAGAGTAAAGATAGGACTAAAATTTGAAAACACCTTTTTGGAACTGTAGGCAGAATCATAATACTGACATAGCACTAGCTGATTCCAAGAGACGAGTTTGTCTGAAGGGTGCAGTTGCAAAATGTCCAGTCGTTGGTGTGGATTTACCTTGTACCTCAGCAAGGAGCAATTTAGCAGCTGAAGTCGACTGTCCTGTTAGAGAACTGAACTTTGCTCTGTTGTCTACCACTGAAAGACCATATTTACAGGTTAAAAAAAAAAAAAAAAAGGAAACAGCAGCAGTCTCGTCTTCTTGAGGGTTCTAAATTTTGACCCTTGTTTTACTGAAAATTGAAAAAAGGTTCCATGTAAAATGTGCGGTTGAGTTGCTATAGCTTTCAGTTACTTAAAGTGGTTGGAAAAATGCCTAATAGTAAGACAGGTTTTTGAAGGAGCTTTTTGTTCTTCTGTCTTCTGAACTTGATATTTAGTAGAATGAGCTGTTTTTAATTTTTATCATCCTTGCACCTGTCACAGTATCAACCATGTTTTGGGTGTTCAGTAAATATTAACCAATGATGAATCCTTATTTAATCAGTTGGTATTTGTCAGATCCCTGGAAATAAACAGAGGATGTCGGTTGTTTATTCCTTTTTACAACTTTAAATATCCAGACACCTCTTATAATTAGTTTTTGTCTGGGCTGAATGCTATTTTACACTGAATATTTTGGGAAGAAGAAAACTAAGAATTTAGTTCTGTGGGTGGAAAAATTGGAAGTAAAAATTTTAATTACTTTTCTCTGTGCAGTAATATTTTATTTAAGACAGAACTTTTGATGTAGTGAATAATAAGTCCTTTCTATGCTGCAATTTAGATAAATGTTCATTGCTCTAATTTTTTCCTATTTGAAGAAAAAGAAATCAGTCAACCCAAAGAAGTAGGAATCAGTAAGCAATTCCTAAGGGGTCAGGTTGGCGTTTGGCACTAAATGATTTTTCTGTTTTCTTTTTTAATAATTTTTTTATTGTTATGTTAACCACCATACATTACATCATTAGTTTTTGATGCAGTGTTCCATGATTCGTTGTTTGCGTATAACACCCAGTGCTCCATGCAGAACGTGCCCTCTTTAACACCCATCACCAGGCTAACCCATCCCCCCCACCCCCTCCCCTCTAGAACCCTCAGTTTGTTTTTCAGAGTCCATCGTCTCTAATGGTTCGTCTCCCCCTCCGACTTACTCCCCTTCATTCTTCCCCTCCTGCTATCTTCTTCTTCTTCTTCTTTTTTTTCTTAACATATATTGCATTATTTGTTTCAGAAGTACAGATCCGTGATTCATCAGTCTTGTACTGATTTTTCTGTTTTCTTATTAGAATTTCTCAGGCAATAGTTAAGTCATTCTTAATTTATTACTTGAGGTTTCTTTCTTTTTGGTCATATTTGGCTGAATCTTAGATGTGGGTAATCGTAGAGATTTTTTTGGCCTCTTGAAGGTATTGCACTTTTAAGAGTTTGTGATAGTTACTGCAATTTTTCGGGATAGGCCACAAAAGGCATTAATTCATTAAATTTACTGAGCGTTAAAAGACGAATACATCACAGTTGCTGCCATCAAGGCACTCCCAGTATAGAGACAAGAGAGACACATGCAGATCACTGACATGCGCAGTCTGGCAGGTGCCCTGTTGGAGGTATACAAGGAGTATTCTTGGACCACAGATGAGCAGGTGTTGTTCTAGTATTGCTCTGGAGTGTCATTAATGATGAAAAGGCCTGCGCAGGTCAGGGCAAACCACATAGAGCTGATGGGGCCTAAAGGATGAGGAGGGATTCCCCAGGTGGGTGACAGAGAGCAGGGAGCCCAGGCAGTGGGAACAGCATATACAGAGACACAAATGCTTTACTGTGCAGAAGGTAGGAGAAGGAGAGCGGGCTCGCAGGCTGGAAATACCTCAGTTCAACTCAGGTTCCATTACTTGCTCAGGGGCTGTGGGGAAATTCCTTTAGTGGCTCTGGGTTCAGATTTTTCATCTGTAGACCAGAGACAGTTTTTTCTAGGTTTGCTGGATGGGTGGAATAAGAAAAAATCTTGGGACAATTGGGTGTCTCAGTTGGTTAAGTGTCCGACTCTTGATCTCAGCTCAGGTCTTGATCTCGGGGTCTTGAGTTTGAGCCCTGCATTGGGCTCCATGCTGGGTGTGAGGTCTACTTAAAAAAGAAAAAAAAAAAAAACACAAATCTTTAGCTGTGTGGAAGAAAGAGTGGTAGGGATAGTCAGGTTAGAAGACGGGCATGTTAGGTAAGCGTTTTTATTTCTCTGACGGGCAGAACTCACCACTGACTTTCCTCCTTGCTGTAGGTGAAAGCCGCCACTGGAGAGGAAGTGTTGGCCGAAGATCTTGGCGGTGCTGATCTGCATTGCAGGTGAGACAGAAGCACTTGTTGCTTTCCAGGATTCATTGTCGTCTGTCTGTTGAAGAGAAAGTTTAATTATTTTTTCTAAGAGTTAGATCCAACCACAGTTGATCTGTTCTTGAGCTGCTGTTTCAGGGTTCAGTTCTTTGAACTGTAGGTTTGCATTCCTGAGTTAGAACGTCAGCTTGTTCGTTACTGCCTAGATAGACTGGAGAACAGGTTTCTCATTTCTTTAACAAACATCCGTCCAGCACCTGTTGTGTGGCAGACACTGTTATAGGTATTGAAGATTATGAGATAGACATTGTCTTTGACCTCAGGGAGCGTAACATTCTAGTCAGGGAGGTGGGTGATAAGTTATTACCAAAAAATGATTTAATGTGTATGTGTGATAAGGCCTGTAAAGAAGTATAGGGAGAGCATATAGAAGGTTGATCCAACCCACTGGTGTGCAGGTGTTAAGACTTTGTGGGTTTTTTTTTTTTTTAAGATTTTATTTTATTTTTAGAGAGAGCACGAGTGGGGAGGGGCAGGGGGAGAGAGAGAGAATCCCAAGCAGCCTGCATGCTCAGCATGGAGCCTGACTCAGGATCTCACAGCCCTGAGATCATGACCTGAGCTGAAATCAAGAAGTCAGATGTTTTACCGACTGAGCCATCCAGGCGCCCCATGACATTGTTAAATTAATATTTGTTAAATGGAGCACAGAGTGGTGGATGGCGAGCTGTGGTTCAACAACAGACCACAGGAGAAATTGAGATGGACAAGTTCATTACTCACAGAACCTGGAGGAAGTACATGGTATGCCTCGAGGGGCCATGCCGGGAGCTCAAGGCAGAGTGCAGATAGAGGCAGAGCCTGAGCACATTTTTTTCTTAGGGTCCATGACTGGAGCACTTGGGGGTTCCTAGGCTAAGGCTAGTTTAGTCAGTTCAAACCAAAAGATTGGCGTTTTGTTCAGTTCCACACTGAGTCTTATGCACGTGGGTCTTGTGCACACGAGGCATACAGCAAGGAGCTGGGAGGCAGAGGAGACTGTTGATCACAAGGCTTGTTGGGGAAGTCCCATCAGGACTTAGGATGTGCTCGTGAGTCTGTGGCTGCTCTCTGGCGCCTGTGCTTGCCCAAGTGGGCTGGAGGCGGTTTCAGGTTCGTGCAGTCCACTCAGCCACACAAAGTAGATGCTGAGGCAGCCAGACCATGGAGTTGAGGCTTAGCTCAACTCTCAAGAGCAGCTGGTTCTCTGGGGAGGGGAAAAGTCCGGCTTTGTGGCATCTGTCAATGCCTCTGGTGTAAAGCATCCCACTGAGGCTGATGACAGGGTCCCAACAGGACACCAGGGAGTATGGAATCAGGAAGAGGTGTACACACTTGGCTCTTGTGAATCAGTCCTGAGCTGGCTCCATCACGTCAATGGTCCAGTCATTTCAGGTTAGAGTTCAGGGGTAAGAAGACTGCCTACCTCCTAGAGTTTTGTGAGAATTAAATGAGAGGATACATGTAAATTGCTTGAAACAGTACCTGCTTTAAATAAGTACCTGTAAATATTAACTGCCATTATTGTTGTTGTTGTTTATCATAACTGGTCATTAAAGAGTGGACTGTTTTTTTTTTTTAAGAGCAATTAGGAAACCATTGAAGAGTTTTAAGGAGAGAGATGCTGTTATCAAATATTTCGTTAGAAAAAGTCACTCTGGCTGCTAAACAGAACATTTAGGGGTTTGGCCTGAGTCTGCCTGAGGGTCCAGTCAGGGGGTTTTTCAGGAACAGCAGGTGAGAGATGCTGGTGGCTTAGATGGTTCTGGTGGTAGTGCAGGTAGGGGGAGTGACCAGGTTCAAGCTCTGCTGTAGAGACAGGTTTGAAGGACTTGCTTTTGGATTTCATCCAAGGGGTTTAGAAAAGCGGGGTGACAAAGATGATGAGTGGAAAAGGTATGACTTCCTGAGACTGGGAGGATGGGAGGAGGAGGAGATCCGGGGATGGGGCATGGGGATTGGGTGTTCTTTTGGACCCGAAAAGTTAGAGGTGCTTGAGACATCCAAGTAGGCATGCTGGCTGAGTAGGCAGGTAATTGATAAGAGTCTGCAGCCCAGATCAGTGTTGGGGAGTCATCAGCATAGAACTAGAATTTAAACCGATGGGAATAGATGAGCTAGCTCAACTCGAGGTGAGTGTAGATAAAGAGGAGGGCCCTGGACCATACCCAAGGAAGCCAGGCATAGATGGCAAGTTGATCTGCTCATTGAGCTCTGTGGCCTGGCAGGTGCATAAACCTCTCTTTGTGCTGCCAGACCTCACACCCAGGGCGGGTAGGTGGCTATGGGAGCAGTCTAGTAGGTAGGAAAGGAGAGACAGGTGTAACATTTCTACTTTCCTGTCAAACGCTGCTGCGCCTTTAGAAAACTTATGTGAGGGACCCACATTTGCCTCAATTTTCCCTTCATTCCTTTCTCTCTGAGTGCTTACTGTGGGTAGATTGATGGCGCTAAGTGTTGTAACACGGAACAATTTCAGGCCTGGTTCCTGCCCTCAAGGATTAATAATTTCATTATGTAGGGACGCCTGGGTGGCTCAGTTGGTTGAGCGACTGCCTTCGGCTCGGGTTATGATCCTGGAGTCCCGGGATCGAGTCCCGTGTCGGGCTCCCTGCTCGGCGGGGAGTCTGCTTCTCCCTCTGACCCTCCCCTCTCTCATGTGCTCTCTCTCACTCATTCTCTCTCAAATAAATAAAATCTTAAAAAAAAAAAATTTCATTATGTAAAAAGTGAAATAAAAAGAACTAAAAACAATTACAAAATGAATATGCTAGCATGCTTCCAATTTCCAACTAGAGGCAAAGGGAGGAGTGGTTAAGGGAGTGGTGTTGAGGTTGGCGGAGAAAAGCTTAGCATGAGCCTGAGTTTCTGTGTGTGTGGAACAGAACACTTGTTTATTTATGGTGAGCACAAGCGTGTGAGTGGCCATGCTGCATTCCTCTCTGATCGCATTGATCGTGGCAGGGAGACCGTGGTGTGGCGTGTCAGCCTGGAGAGAGGCGGATGCAGGTAGAATAAGGTGAGTGGGGTACAGGACAAAGTGGGCTGCCACTGTTTGTGGATGATTAACAAGGGGATGAAGACAGTATCTGAGGAGCATTAATTAAAAATTTTTTTTTGACTATTTAAAAAAAGTTATCTGATGCCCATAAAAGCTGTAGGCAGTATATACCAAGTTAGGGGTATAGGTTCTAGAATTCATCTTCTTTTTGCCTTATGTACTACCCTTGTGACTGGACAAACTAGTTAACTTCATTGAGCCTCTTGTCTTCACATGTAAAGTGGAGATAAGAATAGTTCCCACCTCATAGCACAGTGTCTGGTACTTGGTAAGTGCCCTATTACTATGAGTTATGATTATTCATAATAACCTGTTTAAAATCATGGGACAGTGATTAGGTGGTGATGGCTTTTTTTTGAACAGTGTGATAAAATTTACTAGACACAAATTGCTTTGGGTTTCTTCGGTCTTTGTAAATATATATTTTAAACCTCTTTGATTAGCCATCCTGAGGAATTACTTTGATACAAAGTCTTCCATAATATAGTGTCTCATCAAAAGTTTCCCTTTCCTGCTGTTTTGGTAAATACTAGGCAGTTTTTAAAAGAAAGCATTTTATTTTAAATATTTACGGATTTGGAAGTAGTTCCTTCTGCTTCTCTTTGCTTTCTGAATTACTGCAGTGTAGCTAGAAGTCAGCAGTTATAGCTGGTATGATGTATGAAGCATTTAAAAGATATGGTTAGTTATAAAATGTCATATTAAGTTAAAAAAACTGAAGGGTCTACCATTTGCGAAGTGTTGCGGGGCTATAGCAAGGAGTAAACACGGTCTCTATTCTCATTTAGAAATAGCCAATCCAGAGGTGGAGAGTACCCTGAAACCACCCTGAGAACCCAGTTCTAAGAAATACCTGTTAAGGGTTTGGCACTTTCCCTAGACAAGACATCACAATTTAGATTGCAGCAGATTAGTTCTTACTCATAAAATGAACCAAAATTCTGTTTTCTTCAGGTATATATTTTTGTCTGTCTTTATAGTTATTTTATTTATTTTTAAAAAATTTTTATTTTATTTATTTTTTTATTTTTACTTTTTTAAAGATTTTATTTATTTATTTGACAGAGAGAGACACAGCGAGAGCAGGAACACAAGCAGGGGGAGTGGTAGAGGGAGAAGCAGGCCTCCCGCGGAGCGGGGAGCCTGATGCGGGGCTCAATCCCAGGACCCTGGGATCATGACCTGAGCCGAAGTCAGACGCTTAACGACTGAGCCACCCAGGCGCCCCTAAAAAATTTTTATTTTTAAGCAATCTTTACACCCATCGTGGGGCTAGAACTTACAACCCTGAGATTAAGAGTTCCACGCTCCACCGACTGAGCCAGTCAAGCACCCCTACAGTTATTGATTGATTGATTGATTGATTGATTTGAGAGAGAGAGAGAGAGAGTGCATGCATGCGCATGCGTGCACAAAGGGGGAAGGGGCAGAGGGCGAGAGAGTCCTAAACAGACTCTCTGCTGAGCGTGGAGCCCATTGCAGGGCTCAATCCCACGATCATGACCTGAGCTGAAACCAAGAGTCCAAGGCTCAACCAGCTGCACCACCCAGCCAGTTTTTTTTAAATAGTATATTCTAGAATGAGTATATCTACATATGAGATAAAAAGCCATCTAATCAGAACAAAGCTAATAAACAGAGCAAGCCCATGCTTCATTCACATTGAACTTGAGATTGAGCAGGAACTTCTGTGGCCCTTATCACAGTTCTGTTTTATCAATACTAATTTTTCCCATGGATCTGAGGGACAGAGTCATCATGACAGCTTACTCTTAAGGTGTGACTTTGTAAGGTTGGGGCCTTAGCAGTCTCCCTGCAATAGTTGGCACCTTCATTAGGAGCTCAGTGAGTTACAGACACTTCATTGTTATGGACTACATCTGCAGTTGTTGAACTTTATCATACACAGTTTTGTTGGAAGTGCATGGGATGAGCATTAAATAGAAGTCCTCATCAGCAAGGCTCTCTGGTCCAGTAGAAGAAGGTCAAGATTGAGAAATAGAGCGTGTGGATACTCATACAGCCATTGGTGGTCCTAGGACAGGGTACTTAATTTAGGTAGACCTCAATTTTTCCTGTTTGTAAAATAAGGATAATACTGTTCTGCTAGGGACATTATGAGAATCAAGTTGGATGGCATTGATTAAAGTATTTTGGAAGTAAAAATGATGTCATCCTTAGATGAGAGAAGATCTTTAGGGTTTAAGATACTTATTTTCCTTTTCCCTGTTCTGATTATTTTAGTGTGCTTTTTCTGTAGAAAGTCTGGAGTATCCGACTACTACGCTTTGGATGATCATCATGCCCTTCACCTAACTAGGATGATTGTGAGGAATTTAAATTATCAGAAGAAATTGGATGTGAGTTGGTTATGTTCTTACATCTTTTATTTTCTTCAAAAGCATTTTGGCTTATGTAACCTTGAATAATATCTTTAAATAGGTTAATATGGTTGTTTTGTATTTCTGCAGGTTACTGTAGAACCTTCTGAAGATCCTTTATTTCCTGCTGATGAATTGTATGGAATAGTTGGTACTAACCTTAAGAGGCACTTTGATATTCGAGAGGTGTGTAGAGTGGGGCTGTGAGCTATAAACCATGCTGTCAGTCTCGTTGTATGTGTATCCATTTTTTAAAGTTTATTTTTTAAATTTAAATTCAATTAATTAATATTTATTGGTTTTAGAGGTAGTGGTCAGTGATTCATCTGTCTTATATAATACTGCTCGTTACATCACGTGCCCTCCTTAATGCCCATCCCCCAGTTACCCCATCCCCCCACGCCCCTCCTGTCCAGCAATCTCAGTTTGTTTCCTAGAGTTAAGAGTGTATCCATTTTTAAGGTGAAATCTGTTCAGATACCTTCCTGCCTAGAGCCTCTGGTGGATTTCAGTAGGGTGTGACTTATAAGGGAAAGATCTCTTACTAGAAGGGAGAGGGGGATAAAAACCTCTTAATGGTTGGGAAGTTTTCATTGCACAATGATGATGCTTGCTTTGTTTATAAATAGGACTCCCTATTCCTGTGGACGTTAGGAATGATGTAGGCAACTTCATAAATTTCATCTATTTCTTTTTAGTGCTCTTATTTTGGGAAGTGGAGGAAATGTCAGTAAGTTGTGAAAGGAAAAAACATACCCTTTTAGATCAATATGACCTTAGCAGAGATTAGACTTTTGATTACATTCGAAGATGTTGCTATGGTTACAGATTGCTGACATGGTCTTCTTTGGTCTAGATTGATAATTTTTAGTGCTTGCATATAGCATGTAGTCTTATTTTGTTCACTATCCATATATGACAGAATACTTTTTAAATTAAGAAATAACCTTACTGTCAGTTTCTGTGCCTTCATATTTGTTAGTTTTCCCTTTGACTATAAAACTATTGTGTGCTAATTGTGAAAAATTATAGAAAATGCAGAAAAACAGGATTGCTTATAATTCTACCATCCAGAGAAAGCAGTGAATATTTTGGTGCTTTGGCTTAATGTGTGTGTGTGTGTGTGTGTGT